GACATGTGACATCTCTGATAAAACCCTTTTGTGGCGCTGATCTTGGGACACGTCACAGCACAATAGATGCACTTCACTCCCTAAATCAGCAAAGGCTCACTAAGCGTGAAGGAGAGTGGTCATGTATCATTTTACCTTGTTGGCCTAAATGAAGAAAAATTACAACCATATTGGCATTAAATTTTTCTAACAAAAACATTGTTTAAAGCAGAATTGTGAACCATGACATATTTGAATACGCCTGCAGTGTAATATTTTATATCTATGAGTTCCACTACTTGATCTATCTGGAATTTATTTGCAGCAGTCAATGAAAATATGTGTCAATTCACCATGCACCATTGCCAAAGAAATTAACAATGATTTTACACAGAGGACAGCTTAAGCTAATGACTTAGTGTCAGCATGAGGATAGACTTAGCAGATAATGGGTACTTCCAATAAGAGTGCTTTTCACAGAGGGGGTTATCACCTATGGTAAGAGTGTGTGAGTGCTTTTCACGTACAGTATAGGTCCATGGCATTGGACCATGGACACAGAGGTAGTGCACTATTAGCGCACATTACTGGAAATAAATTGGCATGTAATTTTATGATTTTATTAAATGATATTTTGGAGGTCTAAAAGTACAGCTGCTGTAATTGTGATTGAAAGTGTTTTGAGCGGCAGGATTATCATGCATTTATGCAAAGAAATAAAATCTAAAATGGTTTGCAAAGCCTCTGAGGGGACCTCAGAGTTGGTAACAATTATTAAACAGTACTAGTAAATAACTATTATGAATATTGGGAGTACTATGCTGTTAATTCGAGCCCCATAGACTAGCCTAGCTCCACCAATAGAGGTGTCATTGTTCCTCAACTCTAGATTTCAACTTGGGGCTCAGAAAATGGAGCTAGACCCCCCATATTTCATTTCTCCCTCGCTGATAGCATTTATCAGCAGTGTCCTGATAAAAACAAAATATGCAACTTAAGCCCAAGCAGGGCTAAGCCGCCGAGGTAGACAGGATTACCTGGAGGCTAGCAGGGACAGGCATCAGATTGTACTGTCATAAAGGGCCATTAGCCTCTTGGCAAACTGTACCTCAAGCCCAAGATGACAGGGCTTTTCAAGACAGACAGGGGGGAAAATATGAAACTTAAATTCGTCATGACAGACAATTCAATGAATGAGACCCCCAGAAAATTGGGTCTGTAAAGCAAAACAAACACAAAAAGAACTTTTCTTTTTTCATTTTATGTTAATTTACCACCTATGGGAATTCCATTAGCTGTACTACTGTCTGCAAGAAATAATCGATATCCACTGCTCTGTACTGGATGTAAGTATTTATATAAAAAAAGAGAGACTGGGTTTCCACACAACACACAATGGAGTAGACTTACTGACTGGCTGGGATTAAATTTAATACAGGATCTTGACAGACATATCCTGGAAGCACATCGCTCTCTCTGCAGATTTCCTAGGAGCAAAGCTTACATGTTTTTTCTTGGATTTGCCTCATTAATTGGCTAGTTAAGTCCCCTTAATCCATGATGATCACTTTCTTGTATGTCTCAGGGCATTTCTTTAAGCTCATATATCCCATTACTTTCTTGTTTTAATACTTTCACAGCTTTGACAGCAAAATTAAGCCCAAACACAACTGAACTTTCTCAGGTATGCACATGCTCAGTTTTGAGTGGCACCATAGGAAGCCTCCATTTTGAGGCAGGGAAAATGACAATGCAAAGTATAATTGTTAGGGGGGGGGGGTCGTCTAGACAATGTGTCCGCAGGTACAACAAGTATATGGCTAGATGACACAGCAGACAGTCGGCTGTCTTCTCTGACATGTGGAAGCAGAGGTCTTGCCTGTTATCTTCGGGAGGTGATGTGGAATATTTGGTGACACACACACACACACACACACACACACACTTCTCTCTTATCTCTGACATCTCCACCCATTTCCATCCATCCACTCTCACTGTGCACCTCCTCTGGGCCATATCATGAGCCTGCCTGCACTAAAGAGCCAGGCAGTAGAGGTGGGGGTGGTGGTGGGGCAGACTAGCAGGGCAGGCTTCACCTAGAGGCTTCCTCTGTCTGCCCTGTCAGTCTCTTTCACTGTGCTTATAGCGGCTGCCGACCTGTCCTTTCCCAGAGGGCTTTGTGAAATGACAGAAATGTGATGCTGCTACTTAGACACAAGTTATGGTGGAGTCTGTCTGCGGTGGCCATGTTGTAGCTCCCTTCTATGACACCCCCCCCCCCCATTTTTCTTGAGCAGAGACTACAGGCGCCAGGCACGGTGTAACTGCAGTCTCAGGTATGCTGGGTGGACATTGTAGCCACTCCCCAGGCCTTCACCTGCACCTGAGACTGAGTGATGCGGGCACCAGGATCAGCTAAACTTCCAACACATCTACACACACAGACTATCATTCATAAATCAAATACTCTAACTTAAGAAATGAATGAAATTGCTTCTTCAATTGTCACTATTAAAGTTGATTGCCCCCATCATCATTTCAGTCCTGTAGTCTCTTTAAAAACGGGCATACAGCAGTGACACAACATATTCTGTAGTCATAAATATCGTTACTATTGGTATTTTTTATACATAACTGGACATTTTACAAATCAAACAACAGATTAATTAATCAAAAAAGTTATCTCCAGAGTTATCGGTGATGAATATAATCACTAGTTGCAGCCTAACAATAAGCATGTGACACTCAATTATTACTTCAAATGAAAATAGTATTTTTAGGTTTTAGAAATGTTACTAAATGTATTCTTATTTGTGTGCAAATGCGATCTTCTGTTTTAAATGGTGTTTAATACATAAAACCCACAGTTTTAAGCATGTCTTTCTACATCTAACAGAAATTAGGCTATTTGAACACAGCGGCATTTACTTCCTGCACTTTCTTTCCATGTTTCTTGTTCCTCTTTCCTCCGAATGTTGTGGCATTGTCATGTGTAAAGGCTTAGGATGATTACAAAATAATTTGAAAATAGAATAAGTACGTTGAGCCTATGTTGAGGTTTGCTCCATCTGTCAACATATGACAGCTGCAGAGCAATTTTCATTGTGGTACGAGTGGTTTTGTGGTAAATGTGCGCTCTCATTTATCTAAAATACATCCTAAGCTGTGGCTGCCGCTTCATTATTTAAGCAGGCCACATGGGTTACAATGTGCATTTGTTCTTAAATGAAAAATGTTTGCTGAAATTTGACTGACTTGTGTGCTTATGTTTTGAGGAAAGAAGACTGCAGGAGGCTTTTGTGGTGGTGTGGGAGAGAGAGTTTGTGTGTCTGAGAGAGAGAGAGAGAGAGAGAGAAAGAAAGAGTTTTCTGTTTTCCCAAATGGGTGCAAGAATTTTCTAAGCTTTGCTCCGCCCTTTTAATGTGGAACCACTATTATTGAAAACCGTCCATGCTGAAAACACAGAAAGAAACACAGCAACAGATGCGTTGCAGTACCCCAAGCTATATCTTCAAGGAACTATACTGATGAAGGTCTGCAAGCTTTTAAAAATATTACTTATTACACCACAACCTTTTCTTACATATTTTCGTGAACATCAACTCTTTTATTGTCACATCTACAGTCTGACAAGCCAGTAAACTGTATTGGTGAGATCAGTTGGGCCACTAGATGTCCAGAACAATTTTACAATTAAATAAAGACAACACACATACTTATAGTCATGGGTGGGCGGTATTTATGATACATGTATTTCAAATACATATTTCAAATACAAAATAGGATTTTGTCATTTGAATTTGATAGGGTTGATGAAAATTGCTTCATATTTTGTATCAAAATGTGTTTTGTATTTGGTAGTTTAAAAATACTGTACTTCTATGTACTATGTAATACTTCTATGTGATGACATCATAAAAATGCTGCCTCTGATTGGTGCCTACTCAGCAATTTGCTGACCAGCTTTCCATCGATTTTTAGCATAAATTGCTACAATTCTCAACAGTTACTGTTAAGTTTTAGTGTGTGCTTTAGTGGCCTAGGCTAAATCATTTACCAATTTACGTAATGTTCAAGCTAACTTTTTGACCCGAGGAGCAGCCCCAGCAACGTTAGCTTACTATTTTCAGCCTATGTTAAGTTTCTCAGTTGTGCACTAAATAAAACAAAAAAATAATAAAGTGTTTCAGAGTTGTTGTACTACATTTCTTTAAAATGCCATGTGGTGTAACTTGTTAAATGCACACACATGTGCCTTATTGTCATTAAACATCAGGCTGTCAACCCATCCACCGCTCGAGTTTACTGTAGCTCAGATGATGTAGGCCCTTCATTACCAAACACCAACTAACTAAATTAGAATAAAAGTATGAGTTATTAGCAAACTGTTAGTTAAACATTAAACTGTTGGTGACTTTAAAACTAACCTCCGTCTAGTTTATCACAGGGATATGTGAATATTTGATTCACATATCCACTTAATCAACTGAGTCAGCGTACTGGTGAAGAAAGAGATCACATAGGCCGATAGATTGCAGTGGGCTGCCGTAAATTTGGGTAGAATATTTGGTATTTTATTGTAAAATACATTTTGATGCATCTTTGTCCATTGTAGTCCAAAATATCAAAGAGTGGAAATGCATTCACACTCGAGAGACACTTTGTCTCTGGAATACAGTGAGCAAGTCAGGAACCTCAGAGTTTTTGGATTTGGTTCTGTAAATGTCAGTAACATATAGTGCAGCTTTCATAACTTCAAAAACATATCAAAATGAGAAAATGGTTCATGTATTCATCTCAGACAGGTTAGACTACTGTAATGACCTCTTTGACTTTACTTGTTATCAAGGTGAATGTGTTTTACTGCCTCTGGGTGACTGTATGTGCATAATGTAAAGAAGACTGAGTGTACTTGTAATGAAATGTACTACATTAAAGAAAAAAAACATTACGTTGCCTTGCACCAGCACCAGACTTCTGTCCTTTCCTGCGCAGTAGCGCAATCTGTACCCGCTCGAACAGCGCCAGCGTCCCACAAGTCCTGCGTTTTTAGAGCCATTCATTAACAAACAGCAACACAGCGGCAGCACAGCGAACATGTCAGACAAGAAACAGACCGTGGACCTGGGCTTACTGGAGGAAGATGACGAGTTTGAAGAATTCCCAGCCGAAGGTAAATAATACAGATAATATCTGAAGTCATACTGCTCCTGTTTTCTTTATACTGACCATCGGTAACTGTTACGGTGTTTTTAGGTTCCTGGGCCCTGCAACAGTGACTCAGCTAGCTTAGCCATATCAGCATTAGCTAGCAAACATGCCACAGCCAGCTCATTCAGCTAACTTAACCAAATTAGTGGATTCATTGAGCTCTATACTGTTTAATATCCTAACATTTGTGTTTTTATTTTTTCAGATGTTTTTCTTGTTATTTTGATAATATGTATACTTTAGCTCCCTTGCTAACGTTTGCTAGCTAGCTAGCGTAACGTTAATGCCAGCCGAGAAGCTAATGTGTTACCAGTAAGCCAACTTACAACGTTCAAGTGGACGTTTATACTGCTAGAAGCTCCTACAGTGTTGGTTTTTAACCTGCTTGAGGGACAGTTTGAAACAAAGCTGTTGATATGGCCGGGCAATTAAACAATAATGATAATGTTCAATAAATGTTTGATTTAATGTCCTCTGAATATCGAACGAATTGGCACGTAATTAAACCTCATTTAGGGAATAGGGACTAAAAATACATTTTACTTAATTTTACTCATGCTTATATGTTGAAAAAATATTTTATCATATTTGTTTTGAATGTTCTACCTTAGATTTGTTAAGTGATCCACTGTTTGGCAAGTGTTCTGACCATAAAGAAAAGTTTAAAAACACAACTAATTATCAATTGTTTCACTCAGGAGCTGAAATCAGCCTTTAAACCTGAAAGAAATAATGATTTGACATCTATTGGAAAATCATCGACATTGAATGATGTGATATTTTTCATTGTGGTGACATTTTTGTCCATATTGCCCAGCCCTATGATAAAGTATTTGTCTTTATTTTCTAATGTTTCTAAAATTCAACATTTTGATTCCTAGATTGGACGGGGCTGGATGAAGATGAAGATGCTCATGTTTGGGAAGACAACTGGGATGATGACAATGTAGAGGATGATTTCTCAAATCAACTGAGGTGATCTGAACATTCAAAAAATGCACAATGTTTAGCTACACTTCCTTATCGGCTGTCTACTACAACAGGTCATAGTTACAAGTATTACTGTAAAACCAAGGCGAAATGTTTCAAAATACTCAATTAAATATCTATTATGAAGACATTAAACATGAGTAAACAAAATATGCCCACATATGCAGTTGCAGTTCATATTGAAACAACTTTTGTTGATATAAATTGTTTTAAACAGACATAGACATTCTCAGTACGGTTGATTTCTGTGGTTTGTTAAACTGAGACGTGTGCTTTTTAAAGTTGTTGTTTTTGTGTCCGTAAGTTTTAGACATGTTTCCTTTTACATGCATAGGCATTAAATGCACAAACAATTTTTATCTCTTTGGAAGTCAATATAGACTGTTACAGGTAGTTTCAGCTGTAGTCAGCATCTCAACACAGCTACATTTATGATCCATCGTCATGACTTTTGAGATAATTGAAAACATTTTTAAATATATATATTTTCCTTATAAATTATTGCAATAAATCTACAATACATCTTTGATCAGTATTAATGCATTTGTAATTTATTGCAGGAAACCAATAGTGCATTTGAACTCTTTCTTATTTTGCAGCCATTGTTTAGCTCCACTTCAATAGCTTAGGTTGTTGGTGGTGTGCTGCTGCATTTTTGACTAGTGTCTGAAATTGTAAACACTTTGAAAATGCGACAAAATAAGGAAGACCGACAACTACCATAACTATCTTGACAGTGTTAAACGTGTAGTTATGCATTAACCATCAAAGTTATTATCATAAGATCAGTCATGCTTTCAAGGCTTACAGTCACTTATTGAATAATCAATAACTGTTGGTAGATAAGTGGCTGTTGTGTTTTTGTTTGAGTACTCTCTAGCCAGTAATATGCTATTGTTTTATTTAGGCCAATTATGATAGCCGTGCTATTAAGTTGTTTCTTAAAGATATCATTATTGTTAAAGGGCACGGCTGCCATATATATGTAATCATCAAATCCATAGCTGCACGCATTATGCAATATTTATATATTTTTTCACTCCCATCTCTTAATGGTTCTCACAATCAATAGCAGAGGGTACTTATACCTCAACCACCCACCTGTAATCATCTCTACTGACTTGATCTTTCTATTTTCCTTTTCCTTCCTGCAGGGCTGAGCTGGAAAAACATGGTTACAAGATGGAGACGTCATAGCGGCTGACAAGGCCTTTCAGTATTCAACGACATTGGATATGGACATTTATATTTGAACATGGTTGACCACACACCAACTGAAGAGATTTGATGATGTTGATTTGTTTCTCTCTTTTTTTTTTTTTTTTTTTTTTTTTTTTGTAAAAAAAATTGATAGAAGTAAAGTGTTTGGAGAAAACTGTTTCTTTGAGTGTTTTTACTGAGCAACTATTCTGCAAATGTTTCAACAATTGCATTTATAGATTATAAACAGGTTAATAATTTTTAATCTGATGTTTAGACAGTTTGTGGTCATCTAACCCAAAGAAACTGGTGTGCATTTCTTTAGTAATATAGGTACATAACTGAAATTGAGCAAGCTATACTGATAAACCTCCAATTTATGCAGCATAACCAATAGCTAAATTTAACTTTCTTGAATGATCTTAACAGGAATATAGCCTGTGTCCTTCCGTTTCACCTAGTCATTCGACTGTTCTTATTTGATACATAAACTAAATCCATCTTTGCAGTTATTAGTTTTTGTATGGAAAATGACTCGGGTAACAGAAATATCTACAAATTACAGTCTTTGAAGGAGCTGTTGATCTCAGAAAAACACCTGCCAAGTCAACACAATCTACCTGTAATGGACAGCTTGTTATTGCCCTCTGACTCATTGTGCATTTATTTTTAACTCTGAATTTTACGCGGTGTTACTCAAGTTTAAATTGACTGAGATATTTACAATCATTTCGAAGCAACCATACTTTTATTTAATGTCCCGTTTATTGAAACTGTCAAAAGTGATGCCTGCTTGAGAGAGACGGACAGAGTGCATATGGAAAATGGATATGTACATAAGCTGTGTGCAGCTAATGTACACACAATGCATACAAGTGTGTTTGTGGTGTGTGGTGCATGCTATACACATACTACAAAAGCAGTTCCTCTGTACTGTGCTGTATAACAGCCACCTTCTCTCACAGCCCCACAGCGCTGGGCCGAGTCCCTGAAGGAGAGATTATCCACTGCCGTGTTTGTCTGAGGCAGGGAGGGGGTCTCAGCATGGGGCCTCCCTGCCTGCCTTGCCTGGGCCTGCCCCTACTGCCAGCCAGGCCCTTCTCTTCCGCTTGGCACAGCGGGGACTCTTGTACTCAACCAGAGGCCAATTTATCCCTGCCACACTCCCCCGGCAAAATGATTTCTCTCTGTTTTGTCGACTCTCAGTCCCAGGGTCCTAATGAGGTGAAATGGATGCTAGTAAGACCAAGGCTGCAATAGCAGCATTCATCCTGAAAACATCCACCCTCTGCCTGTAGAAATGGAAAGTAACTTAAATACATTATAATTTTGTCCATAGTCTTCAGATTATTTACATTTTGTGCAACTTTTACTCATTTCGAGTTGAACATTTGATTTTTATTGCGCCGTGTCAATTTATGTAGCTATTAGTTACTTTGAATAATACTTTTTTTATTTGCCAAACACACAATAAGCTCAAAAGGTCATGCACTGTCTGATGGTAATGTGTTTGCTTCACATAAATGCCCAAACACTGCTAATCTCTTATTTTATTGAATAAGCTGTGCCTATAAATAAGTCCTAATATCCTTTTTCCCTAAAACAAATGAAGAAAATCTGCCAATACAGTGAGATACTTTAAACCAAAATAATCAACTTGTCTCAAAGATTTTGAATTTGGACACATCAAAAACATTTGGATCGTGAAAAATGAAGCCTGATTTAAATCAGAAGTAGAACATTCTTACTGCACTGGCAGATGTTTTTCACTTGGTTTAACAAAACGACACGTTAAGGACTGCAAGTATAGCCCTTATTGAAGGAGACTTACAGTGTAATATATTTTCTAACACAGTAACTGAATTCATTTAATACAAAACACAAATTTGTTCAGTTTGAAATTATTGTTTTATCATCAACTGATTCCATGAGAAAAGGCCTCAATCCCTATACAATATTGTAAATAAAGCCTAGCACTTTTTCTGTGTCATAATACATCCTGCTTCTAAAGTGTACAACAGCACAGGTGGTATGTGTTGAGCGATTAGACCAGTTTCGACATTACAAATCTTAAAACCTGTTAATGCAACAAAAGTGACGATTCTTAATAGGCTGTAACATTTTATGAGATTCTCTCAGTTGTTTCTATAGATTTCATGGTAGGTCATATTTGTTTCCTCTTGCGCTGCTGATTTACAAGCTCTGTTGGTTTGCATAAGTTTATATTTAGTTTATATTTGGAAAGAGTAATTTTGCACTTCATTGTGTTGCACTCAGATTTTGGCATTAAAGGATAGAAAAGGTGGAAGTGGAAATCTGTTCGCTCAGGTCAAGCGCTTGAATATTGGCAACTGAAAGCATGCTGACAAGTATCTGACAGTCTCTTGTTCTACAAATCCCTGCTTACTACTTATTATCCCAATCAGCTGCATAGCACAGCCCCAGTAGCTCCTCTGAGTGCACAGCCCATATTGTGATTGAAAGACAATTCTCCAACAATGCTACTGATATACATGAAGTAAATAAAGAAAATAAATTTTCTTTTGTAAAGTAAAGTCTCATGTTGATCAATTGAACTCATACATATGCAATACTCAGATCTGTTTATGCCCTTGAAACTAAGAGCCTTGGGCCTGATGATTATTTTAAGGGCTGGGAAGTCAGTGAAGTGAGAGAATCGGTAAGTGAGAGTAACAGAGGAGGACCTGTGACCATTTTGTTTGTGCTGAGACCATGAGATTGGTCCCTTGTGTTTGACGCCATGAGGGCCTCGATGGGCCCTCAGTGTTCAACCTCACAGATCGCCAGGCTTTTCAGTGTCTATGCACTAGTTCTTCTTTGATCCCATTTAATCATGACTTTAATTTGTGCAAGCATTTTTTGTTGTTCCTTTGTGACCCACATGATTCACCTTGACATGTACGAGGAGGCTCACTGTGGCTGATATTGACTGACTTAGAGGGACCTGAATAACAATCTGCTGGGTGGGTATTTTGGCATCATTTCAAGGTTGCATTTTAAACTATGGATTAGTAGGGTTGTTCTCTGTCATTGTGTTAGTGGTGGCAAAGTTCAGTCTTCATACAGAAATCCAAGCCGTGTGTATTACTTTTACCATATTACATTATGGATCAGTCTTTATGCGAAAAACTGAATGCCATGAATTCTGTAAACTGATTCTCATCTTTCTGAAAGCCTCGACTCTTCAAAAAGCATTTTCTTATTTGCAAATCGTTTTCCCTCGGCCCACGCAGTTCTGAGACCACATGACTTCATGCAAGAGACCAGCCAATGGAACTGTGGCAAGGACTATTTCATAACACTTCATGTTGGGAGATGGCAGATCCATTGTTCTTAAGGCCCACAAGCCTGTGGGCGAGAGTCCCTGCTGTGTCTACACTGAGGAAACACACCAGCCTCCAAGGCTATATTTTCCTCTCTTTTCTGCAGACACTGGAGGCTACTGTGACCATTCCAGCTCTCTCCCTGCAGGCCTTGCTCTTCCCCTCTCCAATCCCTTCACCGCCAAGCCAGGGAGAAGACGAAGCTGTCGCTGCACAGCTAGGAAGCATGCAGCTGCTACTATAATAGCCCTAATTGCATGTTTCTTTTGTTGGGCTGAAATTAGCGGCGGGGCTACAATACTACTACTAAAACCCCCAAAAACCTCCAAGTAAAGATGGAGGGGAGAGAGTAAAAAAAAAGACACTCGGGGTGCGTTCACCAGTGAGACTGCCAACCCACTGCCGAATGGCCCACACCTGCACACTCGCACCCCCGCTAAAGTAAACACATATAATAAGGTATAATTACTTTAGAAAATAATAACGAGGAGCAACCCTTCAGACCCCCCTACTCCCAGTGACAAAGGACCGCCTGTTTATTGTGGGGGGTGAAACAGCCCCAAAGGACGCTGGCGAATGCCCTATCAAAGAACCTGAGGGCCCTACTGAGGGTCCCTTATAGGACAGCCATCAGTGTCAAGGAGGATGGGGCTTTTAAGTCGCTCCTACCCTAACTGCCTCAATTAACTAGTATGGATTAACCACAGGCTACTTTTTCAGTTCCATTCATTCTCATCAAAATGATCCTGTGTTGTCTTGAATGGTCCCCTCCACCCTTTTATGGGATCAGAAGAAACCCAGAATGTACATTATAAAAACATACCAATAATATCTTGCGCAAAGTAAAATTCAGTTCACAGTAAAGGTTCAAGTTTCAATGTGCATGTATGCATTATTTGAAGAATCTTGGAAAATGAAGACAGCAGCTACGTGAATTTTCTGTATCGAAATTGAGAAATTATGTGAATTATGCTCACATAAACACTACGAAGGGCTCGCTCTTATGGAAAGAAAGAAATAATGCAAATATGTTCAATGGTTCTAGCTCCACTTTCATGATAAATATTCTCTTAACAACAACCTTTCAAACATAAAAGGAACAGGGATGAGTCTGCCTGAAGCCCGAAAATCATAATATAACACGCAGTACACACAGTTTTACTGATGATGCCATATTAATCACATTGGTTTTGTATTATGATGTTGCACAGTCACCTGAACTCCTGGGAGGGATCCTTGCAATCTTTATATAAAGGACTACAATGAAAATAAGTCTTTAAGTTTTGTGTTAAGTTTTTCAGAAATAAGCTAATTTGCTTTCTGGTGGACAGTTAGAGATGGTTTATCTTAGAAAAAAGAGTGGGATACAGCTAGCCGGGCCATAAACAGGCAAATTTTGATTTTTCACTTTGGTACAAATTAAAGGATTAAACAAACCTCTTGATTTTTAGAGGTGCCGGTAGGTGGATTTTGTTACCATTTGACAGATCCAGCCTAGGTGTTTAACACTGTTTTCACTCTTTATGCAGTAGCTACTAACTGCCTTATGTTCAACCAGATTTGAGAGTGGTTGTATCAGTCTATCAAATACCGTATTTCCCAAAATATCACAATATTCCATTAACTACCTTTCTATTGTTGTATGTGATTTAATGTCCTCCCTCTCATTTATGTCATTAAATGCACACAAATTCAGCACATATCATCCAAACTTAAGCCACAAAAAGCAAAAATGGCTTTTTATCTATAAAATTGCATATGTTTAAACTACTATTACTTTGATCTTTAGAAAACTAAAACAGTCTACACTTTGACACTACAGCCTCAAGCACCATA